ATGCGCGGCCCCGGCAGCTGGGGCAGAGCCGCTACAAAGCCTCACCCCGCTGGGATCAGGGGCTGGATCCCACTAAGAGACCAAAGGCTCTGCCAAATCCTGGGTGCTGCTCTGCCAGGAGCGGGGCTGGCCCTGGAGCTGCCTTTGCCAAGGCTTTGCTGTAACAAACCGTTTGCTTTACTCCTGCTCCCTCCCTCAAGACCTTCGCTGCTTCTTGCGAAAGTCTCCATTAGCGAGATTGCTGCTGTGAGGAGCAATTTGAGAGGATGGGACGAGAAAGGCAGGGAGGAGAAAATCTCATTAACCAGCCCACGGCCCTCATCGCAGACACAGACCCTCCCAGCACAGACGCAAGTCCCCGAGCAGCAGCAGCCCAATTTCCCACAGCTCATCTCTGCCCATGCGCTGCCCCCCTCTGGCCCCATCAAGGACAGGCAAACCTTGCTGGAAAAGCCCCTGCTCAGCCGCGCTCCTCCAGCCCTGAGCCACGTCCATCCCCTCCGATCTATTTGAAGCACCACCCTGCGGGGAGGGCAGTGCTTTCTACCGTGCTCTCGGCCCTGCGAGCACAGGGACCTCGCTCTCCGAGCGCAGCAGGCTGGGGGCTACTGTCAGGGCAGAGAAGCCCACGTCACCCCCGCCTCGGGAAGGCGCTGGCAGGGCACGCATGACAGCAGCAGGGACAGAACTTGCTGGGGGCTCAGGTCGCTGCTCGAGAGGTGCTGACAAGGCCAAGGGCAGGCGCTGACCTGTGGGAACCTGCACTGCGGGGGCTTGCTGCCCCACTAAGGGGTGGCACGGCCGCTGGGACAGAGGAGCCACAGAGGCCCCAGTGGAGGGGAACTGCAGGGGACACCCCTCTGTACAGCTCTGGGGTGGGCTCCCCTGGATGGCAGCTCCCAAGCTACAGCACAGCCCTCATCGCCCTGATGCGGCGCATGGCATGTACTGGTGCCAGGGCTGCGGGGGAAGCCAAATCCCTGCCCGCAGGAAGGAGCGAGCCAAAGGGTGCAGAGAGTGCCTGCACCTCACAGCCCTGGCACCCAGCGGTGCCCCTCTTGGGAAGGGCTTGTGTCCCCCTGCACAACCCCACGGGAGAGCTCGGCCCCCTCTGGTGGCTCACTCAGCTCAGGTTTGCTCTGCTTTTGCCCTTCTGCTGCTCGTGGAGCCAGGCTGGATGGGTCCCCATTAGAAATGGTTCTTGGCAGCAAAAGGAAAGTGCTGTGGGCAGCTGGGCTTTCAGCAACCGCCCTGGGGCCACAGCTCATCCACCTCTGTCCAGAGGCAGCGCACAGGAACAGGGGTCTGACCCCCATTGCCATCACCTCGGGAGGGTTTTAGGCAGCGGAGAGTGGCGCTGCCAGTCCCGCCAGTGAGGGCGGTGAACACCACGATGGGATGAGAAGTCCCCTGCTAGCAACAGCTCAAATGCCACAGAAGGGCTGGATCGTCCACCGCTCCCAGGCACCCACTTGTTGCTCCAAGCCTGTGCAGGTTTGTTTGCATGGTTTATTGCAACCATTAGACTGAAATCCCAGACGGCTGCTTATATCGGATTCAATGCAGGCCTAATGAGCTCACGGGTGCATGTTGCTGGGGTCACAGGGACTATCTCTGCTCCAGACACAGCCTTCCCAGGCATCGGGGTGCATGTGGGGCAACCGCTCCCCGTGGAAAACAAGGAGGAAGATCCGGATGTCCTCAGCGAGGGGTGAGATCCATGACTCACGCCCTGACAGCACACGGGGTGTGAACTGACACGGACAAGGTCAAAGCACGGCTCCAGACAGCTGAGGCGTCCCTGCAACGCCTCTGCCTTCCCCAGGGCGTGAAGCAAGGAGCAGAGCAATGCCTAAGGTGCGAGAGCAGCGGCAGAGCTGCAGGAATGAGACAGGGGCAGCCCTTGGCAGCGAAGGAGGAAAGGATCCCAGCGATAAAGGCATGCCTACCTTTGTGATTCATCGTCTTCAGGCACTGCTTGCTCTGGATGTCCCACAGCCGGACTGTTTCGTCGTGTGAGCCCGAGAGCAGCAAACTGCCGTCCGTAGAAACCGACAGACACGTCACCTGGTTCCTGGCACAGGGAAGAGGATGCTTGAACTTGGGCTGACCCAGGGAGGGGCAGAAACCAGCTCAGTGGGTAGCTGGGGGTCAGGAAGGGTCTGGCAGGTACATCTGGGCCCTCACCTGTGCCCTTTGAAGATCTTCCCGTTCTCCGGCTCTGTCTGGAAGGTCTGGTCTCGCTGCACTGGCTGCAGAAATGGAGGAAGGAAGGGAGGGAGAGAGGGTTTAAGTTCAGGGAGGGTGAAGCCAGGCGGTTCATTGCTGTCTGGAGGGGACAGAGGGGAGCCCAGGCCCTTCCAGGTCACCCCAGCCACACAGGTGGGGAGGTGACAATGCCAGGTTGAGAGTGGCACTGAGCAGAGCTGCAGCCCCATGCACTCACCCAGGCACAGAGGTCGACCTGGAAGATGGACCCATCCATGCCGCCGCAGAACATGTGGTACTCAGAGAGGTCCAGGGTCACGGCCATGATCCCCACGTCGAAGAGGACGGAAAGCAGGAGCTCCCCAGAGGAGACCTCCCAGAGCTGGAAGGAGAGGGCACACGAGGATTGGGGGCTTCAGGGACTTCAGCGCTAACGGCAGGGTGGGAGGAACATGCTGCTGCTCATCAGCACCCGCCCCACAGCCCTCCTGCGCATTGGCCCCTCCTTCCTGCAGATGGGGAAACTGAGGCCAAGGCAGAACCACGCAGAACCCAGGATCAGGCTCTTTGTGACCACAAGACACCAAGTTCCCCGGGCAGCTCTGAAACAGACCTTATCCCCCCTTGCCCCCTACTGTGTCCATCCTGCCCCCAGGGCAGCCCCCTTCCCGCAGGGCAGGAGCAGCAGCTGTGGGCTGCCCTTTGAGACATCAGTGAGGGGAACGGGGGCTGACCCCAACATCCCGGAGCAGAGGGACTGCAAAGCACCAAGGGCAGGTGCAGAGAAGCTGCTGGTGCTTGGAGAGGCAGAGCCCATTCTGGCAGCTCTGAGTCATCGCAGAGACAGCCAAGAAATTCGGCTACCGCAACCCTCACACTTTTGCTGCAGCCCAGCAGCAGCTTTGTTTTAACACCCTGGGGCCCGTGCCCCTCCGGACCCCCACTGGGTGGGAGGGAGCCGCACCTCACCTTTGCTGTCTGGTCAAGAGAGGCTGTGGCAGCTCGCGCCAAGGGCCCCCCAAAGCCGCAGCACAGATCCGTGATGGGGAGGCTGTGCCGGGACCACACGTGGCGCGGGTCGGGGATCTGGGAGGGCTCTGCCTGCAGGACACTGTGGGGGAGAACAGAGATGGGCAGGGCAGCACGAGCAACCGGTGGGTGCTGGAGCAAAGCAGCAGCGATGGGAGCTGGCCAAGGCCCTGCTTCCCTGGGTGGGCTCTCCCGGCTGCAAGGAGCATGCAGGACACAGAGGCCATCAGCACACGTGATACTGAGGACGAGGGCCACTACTGAGCCCCCCATCCCAAGTGACAGAGACCTCAGCTGCCGTTAGCAGGGATCAGGCACAACCTGCTCTGTGTCGGGCAGGGAAATGAAGCCAGAGCCGTACACCACAGCCTGGGAAAGGCAGAGGAGGACCAGGAAAACCCCTCTGGCAGCACGGACAGTGGTGGAACGGCCGCCTAAGGAGGGCACCGGCTCACTGCCCGCAGGCTTTGCCAATGGCTTAGACCCATGGGCTTAGGCAGAGCTGATCCTGCCTCCAGGACGTGGTGGCTGATCTCCTGTTTAAAATTCCTTGCCCAGATGCTCCCTGTCCCCCACTGAAGGGGCTGAGGCCCCTCCACAGTCAGTGTTACCTGTAGAGGTTCCACACCAGCGCCAGGCAGTCCTTGGCCCCCGACAGAAAGTGGCTGCTGTCGTCAGTGAAGCAGAGGCAGGTGAGGTCCTGGTAGTGCCGATTCAGGATGGCCAGGAGGGTCCCATTGGAGACCTGGAGTGAGAGAGAGGGCAAAAGATTGAGGAAGGAGCACTGGAATACGGTAGGATCCTGTCCTCAGTGGCTGTGGCTGCAGCAGCTCCATCCCCATCCTCAGCCGTGTGCTGCTGTGCCAGGCGTGAGCAGAGCAGAGCCCCTGCAAGGTACAACCACGTACCTTGAGTGGAGGTAAATACAGCAGCAGTCTGAAGAGACCCTGCCCACGTTAACTCTGAAACCTAGTGATGCCACCATCATTTCTCTGGTCAAGACACAAGCATGCAGTAAAGATTTCCTGTTAATATTACTCTGACGAGTAATTACTTCTTCCAACCTCCCAACATCTAATGAGATGGCTGCGGGGGTTACAAAAGCCACAGGCACCTGTACTATCCCCCTGTACTTGGCACTGGTGAGGCCGCACCTCGAGTGCTGTGTTCAGTTCTGGGCCCCTCACTAGAAGAAGGATGTTGAGATTCTGGAGCGTGTTCAGAGAAGAGCCACAAGGATGGGGAGGGCTCTGGAGAACAAGCCTGATGAGGAGCGGCTGAGGGAACTGGGCTTGTTTAGCCTGGAGAAGAGAAGGCTGAGGGGAGACCTCATCCCCACCTACAACTGCCTCAAGGGAGGTTGTGGAGAGGTGGGTGCTGGGCTCTTCTCCCAGGTGATGGGGGATAGAACAAGGGGAAACGGCACCAAGCTGTGCCAAGGGAGGTTCAGGTTAGAGATAAGGAGGAAGTTCTTTACTGAGAGGGTCGTCAGAAGCTGGACCAGGCTGCCCAGGGAGGTGGTGGAGTCACCATCCCTGGATGTGTTTAAAGAGCGGGTAGACGAGGTACTTAAGGATATGGTTTAGGGGGTAGACAGGAACGGTTGGACGTGATGATCTCAGAGGGCTTTTCCAACCAAGCCATTCTGTGATTCTGTGTGCCACCCCAGGGGTTGCTGCATTTCCTGGTCTCGGGCCAATGGAGGCTTTAGGGTGGACAAGGAGTTCCCTAAACCCAGAGCTTTCGTTGTTGAAAGGCAACACTGCAGATGGGGGCGGAAGCAAGCAGGCAGCGAGGAAGCCCCACATGAAAAACCAGAATCAACTCCCTCTCCTTGAATTACACCTAAAAATAAAACCGAACCGCAATTCAGCGGAGAACGTGCGGTTTCACAGAGAAGGCACAAAACCGGGGCTCTTGGGCCCATTTCCAGCTCCGTGATGGTTTCTCATGGTGCCCGTTCCCTCTGACAGCGCTAGCACCCAGGCAGATGCTCGAAGGCCGGGCTAGCGAGCGCAGGGGGACGAGGCCACACTCGGAGCATCGTGAGCAACTCCCGGTTGCCGTAGCTCAGCCCAGCACCCCTTGGGAGGGCTTTTCTTCCAACATCGCCACCAACACATTTTTAAAAGAAAAACCTGACAAATTAAGATAGAGCCGCCCACACCACAAGGCTCAGCAGCATCCCCCGGACGTGGAGCTTCCCAGGTTAGACACTGCCGTGTTTAATCCCGCGGCTCAGAATGAGCTTGGTCTTTTATTTGCTTGGCGAAGAGCTTGGAACGCAGCGTAATCCCCACGCAAACACATCGCTAATTAAAAATACGAGGAGGGCGGCCAGAGCACAGCAGTCTCTGCAGCACCCGGATCACAAGTCATGTGTAAAATGTGGAAGAAACGCTAAAGGAGAACCAGGTCCTGTGTTTCTGCTTTGAGGGAGCAGCACCCGACCCTGAGGCATCTGCAGCAGCTTGGAAAGAGAAGGCAAGAACAGACCTAGGCCTCACCCAGCACCTCCCACCACAAGTCCTGGTCTCCTCCCTGCTTTGAGGAGCTGCCCTGTGGTCTGCACACCCAAGGATGTCGCTGAGAAGCCGAGGACACAGCCCCTCAGGGACACGTGGAGCCCCGACCGCACCAGGAGAGCTGTAACGTACACGACAAAGCCTTCGCCCCGCTGTGGAGCCCAGATAATGTGGATTTACTGACACCCGAAGGGACGGGGCACTCACTAACCACACAGGGTGGGAATCTCCGCATCCCCGCGCCAGCCCCCTTACCTCCCACAGGTAGATGCTCTCAGCCACCCCAGCCAAGATGTAGAGCCCGTTGGGAGACGCCGTCAGGCAGGTCACCGGCCCAGGGCATATGATCTTCTGCTGGAGCTGGTCCTGGGGGCAGAACGAACACAGTGACCCTCGGTACGGGAGGGAGAGAGAAACAAGGCCCTGGTTTGGGTCCGACTGGCCCGCGTAGGAAGAGGCAGCTCAGGCAGCGGTCACTGCTGCGGCCGCCTGTGTTCGAGCCGTGGCCTCAACCCCCATCGGCACCGCTGCGCTTCAGGGATTTGATGCCCAGGAGGGAAAGAATGGGGGAGCACTGCCCATGTGCAAATCACATCGAAGGGCTCTGCATTTCGCTGGTTTTGGTGCAGTTGCTCCGCATTTCAAGAAAGGGAAAAGGTAAATTCCCCTCCTGTCCTCCTCTACCCACAGAGCTCCAGCCAGGCAGCAGGAGCAGGGTGGAAAGACAAGGGATCTGGACACAGTTACACAGCTGGGGAACCCTGGGGATTCAGCAGAAAACGGGCTCAGAAGATTACAGCACAGTAACATTGATAAAGAATTAAAAAAGAGAATGCGAACTCACAGCCCAGGAAAATGAGGAGGAGGCCTGAGAGCAGCTCCTCGCAGCCCAGAGGAACTGGAGAAAAGAGACCCTGCGCTCTTGGGCAGCCCTGGGAGCCATGAGGCTCCTTTCCACTTCGCGAAGGGGAGCCCTTTCCCCCTCCGCGAGGGGGAGCCACAAGGGGCCACAGCCTGGGCATTGCTGGGGGGCCACCAGCCCAGAGAAGCCCAGCAGCTGATTCCTGACACAGAAAACACCTTTTCTGGTGGGTCCTGTGCAATCAGCCAGGACTCCCGGGAAGGGGACTGGGCTTGATGGGATCCATGATCCTAGGGGGTGGGAAGGGGCTGCAAGCAGGGCCCCCTGGAGATGAGGGACTCAGGGGCATCAATGGGGAGTCCCTGCAGAAAGAAGGGCATCGAGCATCTGCCCGTGGTGATGGGGGTCGTTATGGAGGGAGGGGGTCAGGCCTTAGAGACAGGAGGTCTGTACGGAAGAGGGGCCCTGAGGGATGGAGAGGTCCGGCCACAGAGACGGAGGGGGGTCTCTAAGGAGAGAGGGGCTCCCACCACAGAGACGCAGGGGTCTCCATGGAAGAGGGTCCTGGCGCATTCCTACAAGGACAGGGGGTCCCCTCCGCGGGGCCTGGGACCTCCCCTCGAGC